GCTCCAATCCTTCAGATCCCGAACGACACAGCTCCCTACCGGCCAGAGACAGACTCGTCCGACTTTGCAACAGGGGCAGTCTTGGAACAACTTGGAGAGGACAAGCTATGGCACCCGGTCGCATTCTACTCCAAGTCCCTCAATATTCACGAACGCAACTATGAGATCTACAACAAAGAGCTTCTAGCCATCATCCGAGCCTTGGAGGAATATCGACACTACTTGGAGGGACATCCTGAACCGATTGAGATCTGGTCAGATCATCTCAACCTCACCTACTTCCGACAAGCATAGAAGCTCACATGCCGACAAGCCCGATGGAGTTTATTCATGTCTCGCTTCAACTTCGTTCTGAAGCATCGCCCTGGGAAGACAATGCTACGAGCTGACCCTCTGTCCAGGAGGCCAGATCATGAAGAGGGGGTAAGCAGTGATAACTTCGGAGAGACACCGCTGAAACCCGAGTTTTTCGCAATCAAAGCCATGCAACCTGGTCACACCTCCATCGTCGACGACAAGGAACTGCTCGAACGCATCAAGAAGGCCCTTGAAGATGACAAAATGACGAAGCACTACAAGGAATTGCTAGCTAGTGGACCCCGGAGTTTGGAAAATATCTGCAAGACTGGAACATGGAGAACGGTTTACTGCTACAACGAGGCAAAGTCTACGTACCCAAGGATCAAAGCATCCGCCTCGACCTGCTCAAACTACATCACGACACATTACTTGCAGGACACCCAGGAAGGTGGAAGACCTTAGAAATCATTGCACGGAACTATTGGTGGCCCGGCATGTCAATTGACGTCAAGAAGTACGTACAAGGGTGCGACACTTGCCAATGAAACAAGTCAGTCAGGAAACCACCGTATGGATTACTGCAGCCAAACGAGATCCCCGCTGGACCATGGGAAATCTGGTCAATCGATATCATCTCCCAGCTTCCGCCGTCGGTTGATAGACATGGCAACACCTTCACCGCGATAGTAGTAGTAGTGGACCGACTCTCCAAACGGTCTCACTTCTTCGCAGCTGACGACCACTTCTCAGCAACAGAAGCAGCTGAACTCATCTACAAACACATCCTGAAACACCATGGCCTACC